ACCCAGCTAGGTCAGGGAATGAGTCAGGGCTCAAGGACTCGATACCAACCTCTCCCACTCCTGCCAGGAAACCTCTGGGGTGAGACAGAAAGGAGGGACGAGCTGAGGGGCGGGCTTATGGCTCCCTGCTCTGGGGCCTCTGGCTTGCGGTTTCACCCGGGTTTGCCCTGTAGCTGTAACGTGTCTTCTGACACGCAAGCCCTGGACCTGGACGTGCTATCCCTCTCCCTTTTCCAAACTTCAGCTCAGTCTCATAAACAGCTAGCACTTTCCACCCCAGAAGTGATTTAAGGAGAGATGAGAGGAAAGGGAAGAACAGAACTAGGTGGAGAGGTGGCACTTCAGAAAACACAAGGCAAAATACAAGAGACGTTTCATCTAGCAGGTGTGGAGGAAGTAGAAACTAAACTCACCTCCCAGGAAACCAGGATAAGAAAAGGGCAGAGGAATGGCATGGCTGGGCTGGTGCAGATGGTAGAACAGGGCTGAGGGATAAGGTTGAGAAGTACCAAGCAGCACTAGCCTTGAAACCTGAAGACTCAAAAGCAAAGTGGCAAAGTCACATTGCTTGGTTGGAGGTGCTCAGCTCCTAAAATTCATCTTTCTTTCCTCAACACCATTCCTTCCCTGCTGTGACACAGTTCTTAGAACTCTCCTCCAGTGCAAAAACAGTTTTAGGAACCTACTCTCTACTGGTCATGTGTTTCCATATATGATCCACTTAGTGCTAACAACAGCCATAATATGAGGTAAGTATTATTATCCCCATTTTACAGATGGGTACACTGAGACTAAGAGAATTTAAGTAATTTGCCCATAGAGTTTGGCAGTAGAGGAGCCAGGTCTGTTATCAGTTGCCAGATTCCATTATACCATGCTGCCTTTGATTTGAAGTCATATCAAATCAAAATGATGTCAAAATAGTAGAGACTTCTCAACCCTTCCAAAGAGCAGTAAGGAGCAGACCAGGTAATGAGCAATAAATGGAGATCTCTAAATCCCTACATATGTAGGTATTTAAAAATCTTGTTGGGCTCACACAGGCCTTCCTGAAATCTGAGGTCCCAGTGCAGCCTTGGTACCCTCTAGTGGAAGTTTCCTGCATTCACACAGCTTCTCTGGCTTCAACCCCAAAGAGCTGGGAAGGAAGCCCCCACCCTGCCACTGAAGAGCATCCCAAAATGGTGGTCAGATGTTTGTACGTGAGGGTCCGCATGGGGTAGAGGAAGGAATACAGGCTAGAGAGAATATGTGCTGAGCACTTGGTTCAAGAGAAGCCTCAAAAGAGAGTCACTGTCAGCACATAAATGAGCTCAGGCCTCTGTGCATTATTAATAGGAGCTCGGTACACATCACACAGCACTGTTGGCTTTTAGGGCTAGAGAGAGAGACTTTTTTTTAATGGGGAAAATTACAGATCAGAGATGCCAAGTGATTTGCCTAAGGCCTCAGGGCAAGCCAATGTCAGCAATGGTGGGAGCGGAACCCAGGTCTCCTGCCTCCTAGTCCAGAGCTCTTTCCACTATATACTTCCTTATTTGTTGATTGATTGATTTTAGCCATAAATTGTTTGCGTATAAGGGTGACATGAGGGTTGTAGATATAACCAGTCAATTGTTTTGGCCTTCATCTTCCCACATCCCGTACACTTTTCATTCTTTGCTCAACAATTTATCAAGTGCCTGTTATGGTCAACCACTACTCTAGGCGTAGCTTTTCAAGTTCATGGACCCTTTGACAGCGTACCCCAGCATGTGAGAACTGTCTCCCAGGCTCCTGGAACCCCATGCCTGCAGCCCTCTGGGCACTCCTGGCACTGCTTCCCCAGGTTCTCAGCCCTAAGGTGTCAGGTTTATTTCTGTCTCCTTGCAGAGGTAATCCCTGGGAATGGAAGTGGGTTAGAAACAGATTACTTTGATCCAGGGGCTTTGCTTTTGCTTTCCTAAATGTGGTTTGAGGAAAGAAGGAATCGAAAATAGCCTGAAATTCCCTTTTAGGATTATCGCTTGATTTAGCCAGCTGGTGCAAAAAGTGGAGCAAGAAGAGGCAAGGGATTTGTTCTAGACCTACCTTGAACAGTGGGATGCATAGGCTTCTTTTCTGGCTGAGCCAGGATAAGCGATATCTCTTCCTGAACATATGTTTAGAAAAAGGAGTCTGGGGCAGGCCAGGAAGGACAAAGGAAAAGGCTCTGTCCCCAGCAGCAGGGGTAAGTGGAAGGACAGATGAGAAAGAGGTGCAGCGGAGGAATAACGGATCACTTTTCGGCTTGGAAATAACTTGCATTTCAGTGGTCTTAGCTTCAGCAGGTGAGAACTCCTCGCTACGAGGAGAAAGCTAACACACAGGGCTTCCTGAAGATTTCCAATTCAAGTCCAGATTAGGATCTCTCTTGCTTTAGGGACACTGCACCTCCACTAGATTCTGGGGGCAAGGATGTTACCTGTGTCCAGCACAAAGAGCAGTCATACTTGCTAAATTCTGCTAGGCTTATGCATTCCTTCCAGGGCTATCATGGGGCTTGGAGGCAGTGGCCATAACTAACCAGAGTGGGAACATGTATTAACTCACTTAGTTAATAAGAACTCCATGAGTTGTGTACTTAATTACCCCCCTTTCTATAGGTGAGGAAAAGAGGTGGCGCTAAGACGTGAACTCAGGCACTATAGAACTCTTCTATGTGGGAGCCATAGATAGTTGACTCTTGGAGTGATGAAGCTCTGCTAACACTGTTAGCTAAAGATCAGTTGAGAATGTTTCTTAGAAAGTCAGGATTCTTGGTTTCTTCTATGTTACCTTATCTCGGAAACACTTCTTTTGCCCTCCGTGCTCTCACTTCCAGGAAGAGAGGTACAAACCATATAGACACATGACAAGCCTATTATACTTAATTCCAAATATTATATTGTTTAGAATCAGATTCTTAAAATTCTCCAGAAGAATTCGCCTTACTCAAATCAACTGTGCTTCTCCTAGAGTGCAGGTTACTAGGCAGAATTTCAAAGTTCCCATCTTTGATGTCATCTGCCACTGGGAGGAAAAAAAAATGCAAGTAATGTCCCCACTACCCACAGGGAGTTCCATCCTCTTTGGGTTCCGTTTAGATCCAAGAATCCTTTTGTTTTCGAAGAAACAGAAAATCAACCTTGCCCTCCGCCTCATCATAATTCTGTCTGGATGCTACTCATCCATTCATTGAATAAATAAATATTTGAGTGTCTACTATGTGCAAGACTCTTCTTTGCAAGGCTGAGCACATAACCACCTTATTTCTTCCTCCAATTGCACAAGGTCCCTCCTTGTGTTCACATCACCAGGGCAACATCTCTTCATCTTGCTTTTTCTGAAATGTAAATTACCAGGGTTACAGGATTAAGAAATATCTTTCAGTGTTGCTTCCCCAGCAGACAGCTTCCAGTTTTCTACACAGCTAATGAGGAAGGAGGATAATATGGATTTTCCAAAAGAGTAGCAATTTTTTTAAAAAGCCCACTTATAATTCATCTCACAATGAATTAAATAGTATTGACTCCACTTATGATTTTATCTCCTTCCTTTGATGGTCCCTAGCACTTACCTGGATGTTTTGTAGCAATTCTACTCCAACCTGTAAGCTCTTGTATGTATGGCCCATAGCTCCTAACTCATTGCAAAATACTGAAGGTAAGTGCTCAATAAACAGTAATTGTCAGAATAAAATAATAACTGATGGGTTGGAAAGTACTTGCCATTCACCAATACTAGATTACAATACTAGATTTTCCAGGATGATCCCGACACCATGAATTCTTTAACTGAATGTGAGGCAGTACAGCATAGTAGTTAAGTACCTGGATTCCAGCATTAGACTGCTTGGAGTTGAATCCTAGTTCTGCTTCTTATTAGCGTTGTGACCTTAAATCAATTATGTACTTAATTTCTCTGTGGCCCAACCACGTATGTATAATGAGAATATTGTTCTTGTTTGTGGTAAGGATTAACTGAGCTAATATATGTAAAATGCTTAGGAAATTGCCTGTCACAAGGCAAACAAACCGTTGCCATCCAGTGGATTCCGATTAAGCTATTAGTGTTGTTGTCAGTTGTTGTGCAGTCAGTTCGGACTCATAGTGACCCCATGTGTGCAGAACTGCTCCATAGGGTTTTCAAGGCTGTGACCTTTCAGAAGCAGAACACCAGGCCTTACTTCTGAGGCACCTCTGCGTGGGTTTGAACCTTTGGTTAGTAGTATAGTGCTTAACCATTTGCACACCAGTGACTCCAACCTATTAGTAAATGAATTAATATTAAGTCTGTGCAGCTTTTCTGAAATGACAAATCAAAAATGTTTTTGTCAGTCCATGTGTCTTTTGCTTCTGTAAACATGTTGTGCGCTGTCTAGCCGATTCTGACTCGTAGCTACTCTATAGGACGGGGTAGAATTTCTCCATAGGATTTCCTAGGCTTGTAATTTTTACTGGAGCAGATAGATCGTGGAACAGCTATTGAGTTTGAACCGCCGACTTTTCGGTTCACAGGTGAGCGCTTTAACTACTGTGCCAACGGCGCCTTCTCAGTAGACATACTTCTCACTGATTCCTTTAATTTGACAGTAAGATAATTTTCTTCACATGGTACAGATGGAAAACTAGTGCTCAGGTTTGAGGTTACATATATTGAGGTCAGATACAGACCCAGAAACTACCCATTCTCTTCCTTTCTGGGATCGAGTACCTTCAACCTACTCTAGGGGAGTGAAGAAAAGCACTTGTCTCAGAGCTCTCTGACTTTAGAAGAGAAACAACCCTTCATTCCTTACCGAATGGAAATAAGGTGTAGACAAACCCAAGCATAAACGACTACACAAACCCTTGCGCCCAGAGAGCCCTCTGCGCAGGCGCAACTCGCGCTCTAGCCCTTTCGGGCAAAGTTCCTGGCGCGTGACAGCCGTGCGTTCCACCCTACCCCGCCAACACCTTACCACGCACGCGCGGCGCGTCCTCCACGCCCCCCGCCCCCCTCCGCGCGCACGTGTGCGCCCGCGTTACGCACACTCAGTCGGAGAGCGCGCGCCCTGGAAAATTCCACACCGGAGCTAGCTCCACCCTATGAGCCTTCTCTTTGGTCCCACGCTCTTCACGCACAGCCCTCATCCCGGCAGCCTTTGCGTGAACAAAATGGCCGCCCCCATGCAGCGGGGTTTGTCTTGCTTATCCAGGGCTTTGGGCTCTTGGTCACGACAGGTGGGTAGGAATTGGGCAGATGAAAGCCAACAGCCTGGAGGAGGAGGACAGAGTAGAGGGGAATTGTCCTTGGTGAACTTGAAGGATACCGGTCAGACCTAGGTTGGGGAAGTTTGAAATACACAGGTACTTTTACTGAGGTCAGAAACAACAGTGGGGAGAGCCTGGGCGGGGCCGTGAGGGCAAGTTCGCGGGACTGTGTTTTTCCAGTTTGTTTGGTGTCGGTCTGTTTGGCCGGGAGGTGTTAAAGGCTTGGAAGGTGGGCTCGCATACCTTGGTATTTTGTGAATGCTGTCCATAATTGAACAGTAGGTTGGAAGGAGAGAGTCCTGTATCGTCACTGTCCCTGTCTGAACAAACCTCATGGTCAGAGAGAAAAGGTCTCACGGTCTTTAAAGAGCTTATTGGTCATTTGGGAATTAGAACGACAGAATAAAGTCTACAGTGAGGCTCCCGATACAATGAGCAGAATGTAGTCGGCGTGAATGTGGAGGAGGACTTTGCTTGTGCTTTAATAATAGCATTCTTCTCCTTTCAGTATTTAATGTTTAAGTTCCCCTCTAGACTGAAAGTTGTTTTGAAACCAGAAACTTAATTTAACGAACTTTGCATCCACAGGGGTTAGCATAGGTCTGTACTATAGAAAAGTGCATAGAAGACCTTTAGTAACTGCTGAGTGATGTTAGTATAAAGGTTGCTTACTGGCTGCTAGTCAGAGGCACACATACATGTTCAGGTAGTACTAGTAGTGTATTTTTCTCGTGGTGCGTGGCTTTATAATTGTTCCTAAGTCATTCTTTGGATGTGCTCTTTCTATAGGGCTTTGCTTAGAGTTTGCTCAATATAGTAGATTTTTTTCCAGATTATCTTAACCTTTCCCTTGCCTTCCAGCCAGCCCTGGTGGCTCAGTCCATAGCTGTAGTTCCAGTGAGAACTAAAAAACGTTTCACATCTCCTACTTATGAACCTAAGTACAAATCAGAAAAGGAGTTTATAGAACACGCTCGGAAAGCAGGATTGGTCATTCCTCCAGAACATTTGGAGCGTGCCATACATCTGGCCTGTACAGGTGAGGCGTGGTATTTCTGGGGTCCTGATTCAGTCCCCTTCTGTCAGAGATCTTCTGGAAAGTGGAATGATTTAGACTATGATTAACAGCATTTAATTAACCATGAAATCAGTTTAACCTCAATTATGATTGACTTTATGTACACTGTATTTTATGAGGTCATCTTTGATCTTGTTTTCACACTGTTCCTAGAAAGCAAGGATGAAGTCTACCCATTTTGTGGAAGTAGAAACTGAGGCTCTGACAGATGACTTAAATTATTTTATTCCTTTTTTTTTTTTTTTAATTGTAACATGTTTCGCTCTACATGCAAGTCTGTTTCCTTAGTCTCCTTTATATCCAGGATCCTTCTCCATTTTCTGTGACCTCAACATGACTTTTTCTCAGTCTTTCCTCACTTTCTTTTTCTTTTTCTCCTTCTGTTATTACAGCTGGTATATTTGATGCCTATGTTCCTCCTGAGGGTGATGCTCGCATGTCATCTCTTTCAAGGGAAGGACTGAAACAGAGAACTGAACGATTGAAGAAGAACGTGGCATCACAGTTGTCGTAGGTATCTGAGACAGCTGCGAATGAATATTAGAATAAAAATTTCTTGTTGCTACTTTATCCCAGAGAGATCTTCTTGAGTTGATTGGGTTGGTATAACTCTCTTGATAATTTGACAGTATTTTCTTTCTCTATAATAGAGTCTATATTTAATGCAAAACATTATGGGCATTCTTATTCTTTGCATCTCAGTCTTTGCCGATAATTTTTGTCACATCAGCTAGAGAGTTGACTTTGGAATTTGTAGGACCCTTGTTTGGTCACATATATAAAAATTTTAAATAATAATGAAAGAGAACATACTTACTGAGAAGTACCTTAGAGAGTAAACTTCAGAGAGTAGGAAAAGCCAAAAGAGTCAAGAAGACAGATCTGTTCAGGGGCATAAACCTGAACCTTCTTTTTAGTCGTCTCTTTTAGATGAAAGGAGAAAAACTTAGTATTTATTACTTTAGTTCTGACTATATCTAAAACATTAATTCTTCAGGATTGTCAGTAGCCTTATGTGCATAAGTAATACTGAGTCAATGTTAATTCTACATGTGGCCATAATTTATTTCTCTAAACACAGATCTCATTTTATTGCCTTCTCTGCTTAAAACTCTGTGGCTACCTATGACCTGAAGAATAAAATGTTTATTTCTTCAGTGGCATTTAAGGCTTCTCATAATATGGCCCTTGTCTTGCCCTCCACCATCTTCTGCCCCTTTATTTCCTTTTTCTCATGATAAACTTCAGCGTTTCTAAGCTAATTCCAATTCCTTGACTATTCTGTGCCTTTGCACGTCCTTTCCTTTGCCTGAAAATGTTTTTTCTCCCCTTCTTTACCAGGTAATTCCAATTTACTCCTCAAAACTTAACTCAGTCATCATGTCTGCTTTTAAGCCATTTCTTATTCTTGTTGGTGCTGTCTCTAATTGTGACCGTATTCTTATACTTAGTATTTCTAATAACTCTATGCTGCAGTGATTTTGCTTCACTTATTTCTCTCCTCCTGCACTTTGAGCTGTTTGATGGTACTGTCCACAATGGTTTTATCATGAAGTTATCACTTAGGGGAGAAAAACACAAATAATTACAGGAACAATGAAGTACAAGTGCTATAGGATCATGTGACAGGGAAGCATAGCTTGGTCTGGGAGGTCAGGAAATGTTTCCCTGAGGTAGTGACATTGAAAGCTGAGACCTAAAGGATTGTTTGAAGTTGGCTGGGTGGCGGGAGTAGTGAGGAATAGTATTCTTGAGAGATAGAACAGTATAAGCAGAGGTTCTGAGGTGGAATAAGCTTGGCAAATTGAAGGATTGGAGAAAAGCCAGTATGGGTAGAGAAGTGAGTAGAAGAGTGGAATCAAAATGAGGCTGCAGAGAGGGGCAAATAGGTAGGGTCATGCCAAGGAATTTAAACTTTATCCAGAAGGCAATGGAAAGCCACAGTGTAAATGAAAGAATTGACCTGATGACATCTGATTTTTCAGAAACCTAACTCTGGTTATAGTGTGGAGACTGGAGTGGATAGGAGGCAAGGATGGCTGTGGTAGATGAGATCTTGAAAGTCTAAAAAAAAACTTTTGCTCCTCATTTGACTTATAATTTTCCCAGATGTAGAATTCTGGGTTGGAAATACTTTTTTCTTCAACTAAAAGCCTCTGCCTTACTCCCTTGTTTTTCTAGCTTCCAGTGTTGCTGTTTAGAAACCCAGTGTCACTCTGACCGTATTGTTTCTTTGTATGAAACCAGTTTTTTCTTTCTTAATGCTTATAGGATGTTTTCTTTGATTTTAGAATTCTGAAATTTCACTCTCAGGGGCTTTGTTCTTTCTTTAAAATGATTGATTTAAGATAAGACAGAGGGTCGGATTTACAGGACTTGACACATTTAAAAAGCAATTATTGAATAATTGGACAGAAGTTAGTGAAATTTATGCAAGCTGAGAAGTCTTTAGAAATGATTATCATGCTTAATTTTACAGAATCCGGAAGATAAAAGAATACGATGCAAATTTTAAAACAAAAGAATTCCCTGATAAAGCTAAGGATATCTTCATTGAAGCTCACCTTTGTCTAAACAGGTAAGTGGACTCCCTATCTTGTACCCATCCTGTACTCAGCAACTGTTATTTCAGGTCTTGCACAAATTATTTTTTTTCAGGTAAGAGTTCTAGAGCGAGAGAACTTTCTGTGAGGGAAATAATTAGTGACTGAAGCTGTCCTTAGCTCCTCTCCCAGCTTCTGGAAGCTTTTACCATTTAATCTGTTCCAGCTGCACCAGCAACTATTGGGACTATGTGCTGGAATGGCTGCTATTTTCACAGCAACGGATCCCTTAATTCACCCAATCTTCTTTGTGTATTTATGTATATACGTTTTACTTTCCTTGGTTATTTTGAATAAGTTTCTTTTAAAAATTTCCAATTTTTTCTTGATTCAATCAGGGGAAGAAAAATCAGAGCTGCTAGGGAGATGAGAAATTTGCCAGGAGTGATCTTAAGTCCTTAGACTGTTCCTGACATTCTTTAAATTGTAGCTAGGCTTCCGGTAGGACCCAAAAGTTATACTCTAAAATCCGTTAATGATTTCTTTTTATTTTTGTATTGTTTCTTTTAAAAAACATTTAAATCATGAAATATTTCACACATGGTAGAAAAGTACCACCATGTTAATATATGTTTACATTTTTGCAATATTTGCTTCAACATCCTATATTTGGGGGGAAGGAGGAATAAAACATCATAGGTATAGCTAAAGCCTCATGTCCCCATTCTTCTCCCTTCCCAGAGATAACCACTATCCTAAGTATCATTCTCATGCGTATTTTTATACTTTATGTGTGTGTATCTAAACAATATATAGTATTGTTTTATGTATTTTAAATTTTTACATGAATGATGTCATTACACATATCCTTAAGAAACCTGCTTTTTTTATTTATTGTTCAACATGGTTTTTTGTATATTTGATTTTTTTATCACATTATTTTGTGCATTCTATTAATCATTATTTTTGTTTGCTGTTTTTTTTCTCTTTTTGTTTATCAGATTGATATAATTTCCTTCTTCCCTTTTTTATTTCCTCTACTTGTTTGGAAGTAATACATTCCACTTTTTTTTTTTTAATAGTTGTCAGTAAATCGTTTAACAATGCATTTTTTAAAATTGTGCTTCAGATGAAGGTTTACAGAGCAAATTAGTTTCTTATTAAACAGTACACATATTGTTTTGTAACATTGGTTACCAACCCCATGACGTGTCAACACTCTTCCCTTCTCAGCCTTGGGTTCCCCATTTCCATTCATCCAGCTTTCCTGTCCCCTCCTGCCTTCACATCCTTGCCCCTGGGCTGGTGTGCCCATTTAGTCTCATATACATGGTTGAGCTATGTGTATTATTGTTTGTTTCATGGGCCTGTCTAATCTTCGGCTGAAGGGTGAACCTTCAGGAGTGACTTCAGTACTGAGTTAAAGGGGTGTCTGAGAGCCATACTCTCAGGCTTTCTCCAGTCTCTGTCAGGCCAGTAAGTCTGGTCTTTTTCTGTGAGTTAGAATTTTGTTCTACATTTTTCTCCAGCTCTGTCAGGGACCCTCTCTTGCAATCCCTGTTAGAGCAGTCAGTGGTTGTAGCTGGGCCTCATCTTCTTGAGCTGGACTCAGTCTGGTGGAGGCTGTGGTAGTTGTGGTCCATTAGTCCTTTAGACTAATCTTTCCCTTGTGTCTTTGGTTTTTTTCTTTCTCCCTTGCTCCAGAAGGGGTGGGACCAGTGGAGTATCTTAGATGGCCGCTCACAAGCTTTTAAGGCCCTAGACGTTACTCACCAAAGTAGGATGTAGAACATTTTCTTTATAACTGTGTTTTGCCAGTTGAGCTAGATGTCCCCCGAAACCATGGTCCCCAGCCCTCACCTCAGTGATTTGATCTCTCAGCGAGTTAGGATGTGTCTGTGAAGCATCTATGACTTTAACTTGGTCAAGTTGTACTTACTTCCCCAATATTGTGTACTGTCTTACCCTTCACCGAAGTTTCCACGTCCCTATTGTCTAGTTAGTGTTTTTCCCTCCCTACTCCTCCCCTCCCTCATAACTATCAAAGATTGTTTCTTTCTGTGTATAAACCTTTTCATGAATTTTTATAGTAGTGGTCTCATAAGTATTTGTCCTTTTGTAATTGGCTTATTTCGCTCAGCATAACACCCTCCAGATTCATCCGTATTGTGAGACGTTTTGCAGATTCATCGTTGCATGGTATTCGATTGTGTGTATGTACCATAGTTTGTTTATCCATTCATCTGATAATGGACACTTAGGTTGTTTCCATCTTTTTGCTATTGTGAATAATGCTGCAGTGAACGTGTGTGCATATGTCTATTTGTGTGACAGCTCTTATTCCTAGGAGTGGGATTATTGGATCGTATGGTATTTCTATTTCTAGTTTTTTAAGGAAATACCATATCGTTTTCCAAAATGGCTGCACCATTTTGCATTCCCACCAGCAGTGCTTAACATGCATTCTTTTTTTTTTTTGTTTATTATTGTAGTTCAAGTGAAAGTTTACATTTCAAGTTAGTCTCTTATACAAAAATTTATACATACATTGTTATGTGACCCTAATTGTTCTCCCTATACTGTGATAGCACACTCCTCCTTTCCACCCCTGATTTCCCATGTCCATTCAGCCAGCTCCTAACCCTCTCTGCCTTCCTAACCCTCTCTGCCTTCTCATCTCACCTCCGGACAGAAGCTACCCGTTTAGTCTCATGTATCTACTCGAGGTAAGAAGCACACTCTTCACGAGTATCATTTTATGTCCCACAGTCCAGTCCAATCTTTGTCTGAAGAGTTGGCCTCAGAAATTGTTTTAGTTCTGGGCTGAGAGAGTGTCCGACAGCCATGCTTTCTGGGATTCCTCCAGTCTCAGTCAGACCATTAAGTCTGGTCTTCTTACTAGAATTTGAGTTCTGTACACCACCTTTCTCCTGCTCCATCAGGGACTCTCTGTTGTATTCCCTGTCAGGGCGGTCATTGCTGGTAGCTGGGCATCATCTAGTTTTTCTGGTCTCAGGCTGATGAAGTCTCTGGTTTATGTGGCCATTTCTGTCTCTTAGGCTAATATTTTCCTTGTGTCTTTGGTGTTCTTCATTCGCCTTTACTCCAGGTGGTTGAGACCAATTGATGTATCTTAGATGGCCGCTTGCAAGGTTTTGAGACCCCAGACACCACTCACCAACGTAGGATGCAGAACATTTTCTTAATAAACTTTGTTATGCCAGTTGACCTAGATATCCCCTGAAAGCATGGTCCCCAGCCCCCGGAACCTGCTACTCTGTCTCTTGAAGTGTTTGATTGTATTCAGGAAACTTCTTAGCTTTGGTTTATTCCAGTTGTGCTGACTTCCCCTGTAGTGTGTACTGTCCTTCTCTTCACCTAAGATAATTCTTGTCTACTATCTAGTTAGTAAATAACCCTTACCCTCCCTCCCCACCCTCGCAACCATCAAAGAATGTTTTCTTCTGTGTTTAAAGCTTTCCTTGAGTTCTTATAATAGAGGTCTTATATAATATTTGTCCTTCTGTGACTGACTAAATTCACTCAGCATAATGCCCTCCAGATTCCTCCATGTTATGTTTCACAGCTTCGTCGTTGTTCTTTATTGTTGCATAGTATTCCATTGTGTGAGTATATCATAATTTGTTTATTCATTCGTCCATTGATGGGCACCTAGGTTGTTTCCATCTTTTTGCTATTGTGAACAGTGCTGCAGTGAACGTGGGTGTGCATATATCTATTCGTGTGACAGCTCTTATTTCTCTCGGATATATTCCAAGGAGTGGGATTGCTGGATCATAAGGTACTTCCGTTTCTAGTTCTTTAAGGAAGTGCCAAATCGATTTCCAAAGTGGTTGTACCATTTTACATTCCCACTGACAGTGTATAAGTGTTCCAGTCTCTCCATAACCTCTCCATTATTTATTATTTTGTGTTTTTTGGATTAATGCTAGCCTTGTTGGGGTGAGATGGTATCTCATTGTAGTTTTGGTTTGCATTTCTCTAATGGCTAATGATCGTGAGCGTTTCTTCATGTGTCTGTTAGCCACCTGAATATCTTCTTTGGTGAAGTGCCGGTTCATATCCTTTGCCTATTTTTTAATTGGTTTATTTGTCTTTTTGTTGTTGAGGTTTTGCAGTATCTTGTAGATTTTAGAAATTAGATGCTTGTCGAATTTGTCGTAGGCGAAATTTTTTTCCCAGTCTGTAGGTTGTCTTTTGACTCTTTTGGTGAAGTCTTTTGATGAGCATAAGTGTTTGATTTTTAGGAGCTCTCAGTTATCTAGTCTCTCTTCTTAGTGTGCATTTTTGACTTAGCATTACAAGAATCTTAGAATGCTTTTATTCCAGCCATTATCTCATCTAACTTGTTTTTTAAGAAAAACTAGTCTGTCTCTTTAAGATTTTTGACAGTTGCCGCTGCCTAGGAAGCAGCTTTGATCTGCCAGACAGATCAAAACACAGACCCCAGTTTTTGAAGAACAGGGTTCTTATTGCCCATCCTGGCACCAAAAAGCTGCACCAGGAACATGAGTCACTGTCCCCACGGCTGCCGTAGGGCTAGGGTTTAGAGAGTGGTAGTTGCTACGTGACATGCTGAAATTCTCCAAAACTTCCCAGCTTCTTTCTTCAGCAGGGACTCCCCTGGATGCTGCAAATGTTCAGCTCAGAGTTCTGAAATAGTTGATTTCAAATAGTTCTTGCAGGCTCAGTAATAGTTTCAGTGGAAGGACTGATTCATGCAGCTTCCTCTTCTGCCATCTTCTATGACATCACTCCCCACTTATGTTTTCTTTTTTTTTATCTCTCTGTGCTGTAGTTTAGGCAGTTTCTTTATATCTGTCTTCAAGTTTACTGATTCTCTCATCAGCTGTGTCTAATTTTGCCTAGTCAGTGAGTTTTTTATATTTTTTATTTCATTGTTGTATTTTGTCCTTTTCCGTAACTTTTTTCTTTTCTACAATTCTTTGCTTTTTTTTTCTTTTTATAAAATTCTTTCTTTTATCTCCTTAAACTTACCCAATTTATAGATTCTTTTGAGCTGCTCTGTTATCTCAAATTCTTGAGACACTAATTGTTTTATCTGAGGGAATTCTGAGCAACCGGAGTTATGAATATATTTCCATAGAGGCTTTGTGTTTGCTTCTGCCATGCACCCCAGGGTTGTTATTGGCCAGGTATCAGTTTTTATGTTAATTTCTTAGCTTAGGAATTTCTATACCTCATAGGTAACAAATTCTATGTCCAAATCTGAGTATATATTGTGGGCTTGGGGTCTTAATTTTTCACAGCTTTTTGTTATCATTGGTTTGTTTTGTTTTTTCACTCAGAGTCCTGGACAGAGATAGACTTTGTCTCTAGGTTGGCTATTTTTCTAGTCTCCCTTTCTTGCAGCCGCAACCTGTTGAGGGTCATGCCAACTCCCTGCTCTTCAAGAATCCAATGTTTCAGGGAAAAGTCAAGCTCTAGTGCCATTAGATCCTATTTCTGGATCCATTAATTATCCCTCAGGCTATCGTAGTATCAGCTTGCATGCTTTCCATTTGGGCTTTTAGCTCCCTCTTCCTTTATGGCATCTGGGGATTTACCTTTCTTGTGAACTAGGCTAGAGTATTTAAGAGTCTGTGTGTGTGTGTATGTGTATGTGTCGTTACATTTGATCCAACATTTCTAGATGTTTATCGTGGGAATAGTTTCAACATTAGCTCAGTCCATTATGTTGCCAGAACTTATGTCTTCTTTTATTTCTCAGTGTAAGTTCTACTGCAAAATAGTAAGCAAACTCATAGAAAAAATAATTTATTTCTACTGAAGATTTCTGAGCCAGGATAGTGAGGAGGAAGAGTTCATTCAGAGGTTGCAGCTATGGTCATGGTAGCTGTCACTACAACTCAGTCTGTTCTAGCTTAGAGGTACAGTGGGGCAAATGACTTGGACTCTTTCCTTTTAGGGATAGAGGTGAAAATTAAGCAGATAGACATGTTAGAACTAATATCTTCCCCACTCAGAATTAGAGATGAGATTTTTCAAAGGGGACAAAGAGTTAAACTCTCCAGAATATATTAAACTATGGCGGAAAATCATATGTGTATTGGAAAGAAGCTAGTCTGTGGTCTTAGGTTTATTTAAGATCCCTCAGTTAGGGAACCCTCCTAAAATCTTGTATCTGCAGGAGCTGGGGCTTGCTGTTTGTTTTCTAACTATGATGGCATACAGTCAGTATAACTTGGCCACTCTAGCAGCAGCAAAGGTGGAAGGAAAGGACCAGAAAAGACAGATTATCTTTTGGCTAGGTTCAAAGATGTTAGTGTAAGATCATCTTACTAAGATGAGGTACGTTAGTACCAAGCTAGTTGGTACTGATGTGTCAGAGGTAAGAGGAAATAAGATGAGCCCTTGGTTATTATTTGTGTTGGACTTTATTGCCCATACCAGCTTAGAGCAGAAATCATTTCCCATGTCCCAGTGAGGGTCTCTTGCCCATCTTAAGGACCTATGGTAATGACAGAAATTTCTTTTTGTTCCTCAAATTCACACATAACTTTACTCTGCTATTAGATCTCAAGGTTTTCTGATAAATCATGTTATTCATCTCTATGTCCCTAGAACTTAGCACATTACTTGGCTTGTAATGTACAGAAAATGTTTGTAAAATTGAACTGTTTTCTGTTCTCAGGGCCATTTTCAAATTCTATATATGGTATCATAAAAGCAGGAGTCAATGATATATATCTCTTTCTTTTTTAGTTCAGACCATGATCGGCTTCATACCTTGGTTACCGAACACTGTTTTCCGGTAGGTTCTCATCCTCCTTAGAACTGTGGGGACGCCTGAGTGGGCAGATTCTAGACATCACCTTTGGTTTTCTTAGGAAGGATCAGTTTTGGAAGTGCAGGAAGTTTAAGGCCCAAGTTTAAGTTCCATTATTTAGTGATAGTGACTTGCCACAAACTCTGGTAAGGGCCTTGGCAAATGAGGAAAGAGGAAGTCCATCAGCAAGCAGTACTGAAACCACAGAGTGCAGATACTGAGGTCAGGAAGTGGGCTATGTTAGGCCAGACCTCCACATGCCTACAGTGTAATGAAGTATTTAACAAGAATTCATGAGGCTTATATTGTGTGCTAACTGTGGAGCTAGGCACTCTTGGGAGAGAACTAAGAATGAAGACACTTTGGTTTAGTTAGAGGTTTCAGAATAAGAACTTCAGTTTCTATTAATTCAGCCTAATCATGCTAGAGACAAGTACAGCTAATGTAGCCTTAACAGTTTAGCTTTTTTTCCCTGTGAAATTTCCACTTTCCACTACTGAAAGGTAAGGAAAAAAAAAAAGAAACATATATGTGGTCAACAGAAATACATGCAGTAATTAGCAGATTATGAAAGTATACGGAAGGGATAATGGTGAATTGGGTATACTGGCAGTATGGAGGGTGGTTTTCATTAATTTGGAGAAGGATCTTCAAGAGTTATGATTTAGATGAAAAGAGAGTTGTCATGAGGTATATTCCAGATGAACAGTAGCTTAATCAAAACCTTGGAAGGTGAGGGAAATGCTAGAAGGCATTTCGGGGGACATGTTGGGTGTTGGCTGTAGTATTACAGGAAGCGAGAGCAGATGTGATAGGACCAGCTTCCCTAAAAGGAGGGAAAACACCAGTTAAACTTATTCTCCTCTGCCCTTAGGACATGGTCTGGGACATCAAATATAAGACCGTCCGCTGGAGTTTCGTGGAATCTTTAGAGCCACCCCAGGTGGTTCAGGTTCGCTATTCAAGCCTGGTGAACCAGGGCAACATGTATGGCCAGGTCACCGTACGCATGCACACCCGGCAGGTAGAGTCACCAACCCCGCTCTCCTCCCAGCTTTTCTTCACTCTCAGGGTGGGCACCTACTTCTGGAGTGCTGGGCACAGCTGCCCAGGACTCAAAGTTCTAAGGAAAGGTTCACCGTGGCTTTCTCTGCTCTGTCACTACCCGCTTCCCACCAGTAGATGTTAGCTCTCTAAGGCACATCGTGAGGCTGTTTGCCCCATCCTCCCTGGCCTTGACTCCCTCCTTCCCATTCCTCCACCCCCATCAGGCTTTAAGAGTAAAGAGTCAGTAGTTGATCAATTAGTCTACCTTCAGAATTCTGAGATAATTTTTTTCCCACCCATTAAAAAAAATTTTTTTTATTGTACTTTAGATGACGGTTTACAGAACAAATAGTTTCTCATTAAACAGTTAGTACACATATTGTTTTATGACATTGGTTAACAACCCCACCACATGTCAACACTCTTCCTTCTCAACCTTGGGTTCCCTATTACCAGTTTTCCTGTCCCCTCCTGCCTTCTAGTCCTCGTTCCTGGGCTGTTGTGCCCCATTAATCTCATTTTGTTTTATGGGGCTGTCTAATCTTTGGCTGAAGGGTGAACCTGGGGAGTGACTTCATTACTGAGCTAAAAGCATGTCCAGGGGCCATACTCTTGCGGTTTCTCCAGTCTCTGTCAGGCCAGTAAGTCTAGTCTTTTTTTGTGAGTTAGAATTTTGTTCTACATTTTTCCCCAGCTCTGTCAGGGACCCTCTCTTGTGATCCCTGTCAGAGCAGTCAGTAGTGGTAGCCGAGCATCATCTACTTGTTCTGGATTCAGTCTGGTGGAGGCCGTGGTAGTTGTGGTTACCCATTAAAAATTTTTGTTATAGTTGTTTCATATTTGTGTGGCAAAAATAAAATTCCAAGAACTAAGGCTGGATTTGCTTTCATCCTTGCAGATTCTGGCCATCTATGACCGGTTTGGTCGGTTGATGTATGGACAGGAAGATGTACCCAAGGATGTCCTAGAATATGTTGTGTTTGAAAAGCACCTGATGAACCCCTATGGGAGCTGGAGAATGCATGGCAAGATTGTCCCCCAGTGGGCACCCCCTAAGCAGCCTATCCTTAAGGTAAGGCATCTTGCATGGTTGAGGCAGTAGTTTTGGCTCCTAAGTCACGGGTTCCATCTAGTGGAGACAGGAAGTGATGCAGCACCAGGGAAGGGGAATCCTGGAGGAGTGGGTCCTGGATGAGTCATGGGCTTGGTTGGTAGATAACTCAGCTTCCTGCTCTTTCAGACGGTGATGATCCCTGGCCCCCAGCTGAAACCCTGGGAAGACTATGAAGAACCACAAGGGGAGGCCAATAAACCTCAGCTAGCCTGATGGCAGGAATGATCCCTGAGGTAAAGGATGGCTAATGAGGTGGCTGGAAGCTGTGAAGTCTGGAGTCTGGGAGCCATGAAGTCATCTGCATCAGCCATACAGTAGAAAGAACTACCTTTGTTCTCATCTGTCATTCTTGAGTCTTTTCAGCAGTGTCATCCTCAACAACCATGGCTCATGTCTGGGCCCAGGTGGGTGGCTGGTATGCACAGCCATGGACCTCTACTTCTTCCTTGTTTTAAATTGTATATCTAGCTTCTGAGTCTAGACGAAAAATGGTATATTTCAGAGAACGTCTGATACCAGTTTTTCCCACATCAGTGCATGTCAAGTGCAAACTGGGAGCGTTCTCTTTCTAATCAAAGGGCAGGGATCGTAGTCTGAAATAAAACACTATCAGGATGTTGAAAAAATTCTGATGGGTTCCGTACATTTGCCCTGATTCAGGTTGGAGGTAGACCAGCCTTCAAATAGCAGAAGCGGAAGACAGGCTTAGTTGTGAGTGATATGACTTCTGTGAAATCCAGACTTGGGGAAAATTATTAGTGCTTATATAATATTGTATCATTAAAGAGAGTCTTTCTCGTACACAGACTCTCTGAACCAGTGTTTGTATTTCATAGGAGAATGTAAGGGCAATGAAGTCATGTAACCCTTAGGCTTTGGATTGTGTTCTTAATTATCAGCTGTATCCTGGTGTGATCCCAGGAAGCCTGGGTAGAGGCAGGGGCCGTGGAGGGGTTGATACATTTGGGAAATCCATCTATGAGCTTTGGTTCCCTGATTTCTGGCACCTCCTGGAAATGGTGACTATTCTTCCCAGCATTGGGAAGGCAAAGGTACCAGAGTATGAACCTGTGTTGAATGAAGCAGCTAGCCCCTCTTTGTTTCTTTGCTCCAGCTGGGTTATCAGGAGGAGAATGTGGATTTCATAGGTTTGTGTATCCTGGGATCATTTGAGGTATGACAAGGAAAATCGCTGTACCAGGTACAGGCTGGCTGATAGTACTATTGCTTTTATCAACACATAGTGGGCTTCTCTTAATTTTTATACTTTCTGTTTTTTTAAAACTTAGCTTTTTTCTTTTTTTTTTTTTACCCCCAAAGGATTTTGTTATTTGGGGTAAGGATTAATCTATTTTGACCTTGTCTGGTGAATAGAGTCCAAAGAAACTGGAATCAGATCGAGACTAGTTTAATTCTTCAGTCTTTCTAAAGCTACCATCTTAGCTAAGGAGTAAGCAGGTTGGGCCTCACTGGGGAAAATTGGTATTTTTACAACAGCTGCTAAGTGCTGACTATGGAAACACTTAGGGAAGAAACAACACTGGTGGATTAATCCAAAACAGCCACTCTCGTCATGCTGCTTAGTCTCAACCCTTTTGGCTTAAAATGTACATGAGCTTGCAGCATTACTGTCCAAGTGAGGTTTGGTCACATCCTCTTTGCCTGAGCCCTGGATTAAAGCAAAATGAGAGGGGAAGTGCTTTGAGCAGGAGCTACAGCTGGGGAGCATGGCGGAGGGGGAGGTAATCCAGGGAAGGTGGGGAAGCAGAGAAACGAAAAAGCACACTTAACGGGAAAATGATAACATTGGTTTCTCTGAATATGTGAAAGCAGTGCTACAAATAAATTGTTTCACCCCCACTCCCCTGGATCTGTCTCAGGGTCTCTAGATAATCCTAAATCGCAGCTAAGCAACAGCTGCCACCAGGGAGCAAGAGGATAAATGCAATTTTCATTTCCCTTGGAACCGAATCCAACTGAGCAAATGGCCCCAGATGTGAAGGATTGGCTGGAAGGGCCAGGCAGAGACTATCATCTGCACTGTCAGCCCCACAGCAGCACTGGCAGAGAATTAGCCAGACTACCTCCAAGGCCTGAAGGCTGCAATGTTGTCACTTTGGACTTTGGAAGCAGCCATTGTTCTTTCTTTACCTGTCTGTCACTCCTGTTCAAAAACTTTGACAAAAGAAAATCACTACTATCAATAAACTAGAGCCAACTGTGTTGGTCAAGAAAAAGCATTCTTTATTTTATTCCCCATGTATGAATGTGGGTACAACTTTGCTGTTCCCAACTAAACCAGACCCAATAGGATTGTTTTGGGGAGGACAGTGAGCAGAGATTGATGCAGAAGCTGTGGGGTTAATTCACCAGAGCCCAGAGCATCAACAGACTTCATTACTGCTCTGAAACCCAAAGCAAGGGTAAATGGGAGGGCATCTGGACCCTGAAAGACAGTGGGTTTCTCTATTCCTTGTGCTGTTCCCTTTTGGAAATGGAGCCCTTTGCTACTTTTTCTATATAGTACTTTAACTGTCTAAAGTATTTGCATACTGACTTATTTTTTTTCCTATTGGGTACTGGGTCTCCTTGTTTTAACTTTTTCATTCATACGAATGACATCAGTATCTTTACAGTTAGAGGGCAGGACTTAGCCTGCCTGTTTCCAACGTCACTTCTCTCCTGCCAGTCCTGGGACTTCTTTGTACTAGAGTTTCCCTCTGTTTCCCTTGTTTCCCTCTGGTAGTATCTTCTAATTGCAGCACTCACCTAGCTAGCATTTCTTAGGCAAGGGTAGCCTGAACTGACTATTGAGAGAAGAGAGCCAAGCTAGAGAGAGCTTTCTAAAAAAGAAGGCTTTGTATTTACACGACATCTTTTTCCCAGCTCTCAGGCCTCTAACCTGCCCCATTGCACTATTCTTTCTGAGAGCAAAAGCAGTTACAGTGCTGGCTGTAAACAGGGCCGCCTTTCTTTCTCAGGCTTCTCTGGGAAGGAGATTGTGATATGAGCCCCTTGTTAGGGAGCAAATGATTTAGAGTGGTTCTCACATCGGAACCAGAGATCTCCTTGGCTCCAGTTGCATTGGCAGTAGAGAGGGGCCCCTTTGATGACAGCACTAAAAGGCTGGAAGGAGGAGAATGAGCCAGTGAGATGCACTCTGGAGACTGGCAAGAGATGGGGCAGGGAGAAGGGGAGAGCATCTAAGAAAAGCTAGTAAGCCAGCAGAAAGCATGCCTCTTGGACTGCAAGATACTCTTGAAGGGAGAACTCTGCCTTGACCAGCGTGGGGAAGACCTAGAGAAACCACCTTTTCTTCTGTGTTCTCTGTGTCTGGTGTTACTCTGGATGTCAGGTGTTGTATGGGTGTAAGAATGCCTGAGCATCTCTACTTCAGCAGTCAAGCAGGGCAGATTTGAGAATCAATAAAGCAGAAACAGGGATCCAAAGTCAAAATTATTTGTCTTGTTTAAACATGAATTAAGTGGCTTCTTAAGCTTCCTGTGGTGATCTTTATAGCTGTCCCATCCCAGGTATACCACAGCCATCATTGCAGACAGATAAATCTCTGGGTCAGGAGTTTTCTATGGTCCACAGTCCCTGTATGACCAGTACCTTGTGTAGTTTAGAGTTTCTTCTCAAGAAACGGCCCTTTATAGGCTTCAGAGAAGAATGGGGTCTTGCTATGAGACATTGTGGGCTGGGCACTGTCTTCCTCTCACTCCTAACGTTGGCTTTACAAGTGAGTGGTTGGACACAGATGGCTTGTATGAGTACTCTCGCTGGATAGGAGGATTCGTAAGAAGCAGGAGGCGCAGGCTTTGTCCCCTGGAACAGGAAGAAGAGTTAAAGGTGAAGAGAAGGTGGGACTCCCTGTTAGGGTCCAAGCTGCTTGCTCCCTCCTTGTACAATTCAGTTTTGGAATCTGTTGATTTCTGGCCTTCCTGGGGAGGGGATGTGGCCAGGTGTTTTTGATTCGACTCTTTGGGAACTTCTAGGACTTGGAAAGGACCTTGATTCCTGAAAACTAGCTCTTTGTTTGACCTCACCTGATGAAGTTGTTACTCCCGGTCCCAAGGATAGACATTTGGAAGGGTGAGTTCTTCATTTTGAGTTTTAGAGATTGCTTCTTCTTGGTCTTCAGTTATGGAGGAAGACTTCTGAGCTTCGGCTTCTTGGAGACTTGGCTCTGGAGCTAAGCTGGTTCCTGGTCCCAGCCCTGAAGGTCCCTGGGATTCCCTGCCACCTTCCAGGGTAAAAGTACTATCTGGCTGGCTCACTTGAGGGTGGGGGCTTTTGCTTTCTGAAAGGAAGCTTCCCAGAGGTCTGTAGACTGAAAGGCATGATGTTTTCTTGTGGGCTGTGGGGATGAACATTTCTGTCTGAGTTGCTGTTAGAGCCAAGAGGCCAGATTCCTTAGATGAGATTCCAGTTCCCTCCCAGGGATAAATTTCTGCCATTGTGCCCCTTATTGTGTTTCCTTCTGGATCTGTGACTTCCCATCGACACAGCTCTCCTGTCCTGCTCCCCAGACTGCTTGCTCCATGGGGATTAACTTTGGGTTGGTCAGTGTCCAGGGCATCTGGCTGGAGGAAGAGCCTCCCTGAATCTGTGCCTTCCCATGGGCAAACTATCTCCTGCTCTCTGCTGTGTTTTGCTGCTGCTTTCAAAAAGTGTTCTTCAGTCCCTCCAGACCCTGCCTTTTGAAAGAATATCTCTCCTTGCCCTTGTGAGCCTCTGTCCGCCTCCTGTTGCAGTCCTTCTTTCTCTGCTGCTCCTTTACTCATCTCCCAGGGGCAGATCTCTGCTTTCTTGGCAGAGGGAGCCTCTTCTGCTTCCCACAGAGAAACATCTGCTACCCTGGCCTCCATACCGCCTGCTGCCTCAGCACTGCCTTTGCTTCTCTCAAAAGCTTGTGGGGCTGGTTGTGGAGACGGACCCCCACAATCTTGATCCTCCCAGGGACACACAGCCTCCTGCTTCCTGTCAGCTTTCTCTGGCTTTTTCTGAACTGCCATATCTTTGGGCTCTGATTTTTCTGGGGCTTTCCCCTTCTCCTCTTGAGGTTCCCCTTTTCCATCCTGTCTTGACACCTCTTTCTCAGGAATTCCTTCACTCCCCTCCCAGGGACAGATCTCGTCCTTGGCGCTGCTGTCAGGTTGATAAGCATCTGGCTCAGGAGCATCCCATGGGCACACCTCAGCGACCCTGCCCCCAACACTGACCCACCCATGGGAGCCGGCTTTCTGTTGGTCCGTGTGCTGTGTGTCTGGGTGGGAGAAGAAGTCCCTCGGGGCCAAGCTTTCCCATGGACAGACAGATTGCAGCTCCTTGTTTGTGCTTTCCCCATCTTCAATAGTGAATTCTGCTTTTGAACATGCAACTTTTTCTTGGGGTAGCATGTGTTCCAGAAGGGAGCCCCTCTTTAGGTCTTGCCTCAGGCCTTCTTGTTCTACTGCCTCATCACTCACTTCTAAGGAATGTCCCTCTGCCACATTGCTACTCATGCTGTGTGATAAGCCTGAGACTTCGGGGGCCTGAGCAGAAGGTCCCCGCAAGTCTGTGTTCTCCCAAGGACAAACAGGTTCCTGCTCCTGACTCAGTTTTGATATGTCTTCTCCCAGGGAGGTAAGTCTCCCTTTTTCTAGAGTTTTCTTCCTTTGCCCTGCTGACTTACTCCCCAGCTCCTGTTCCAGTCCCTTCTCAGTCGCTCCTTCGTTCACTTCCCAGGGACATATCTCAGCGTTGTCACTGGTAGGTGCTTCCTCCCCTTCCCAGGAACATACCTCAGCTGGCCTACACCCAACACTGTCCAGGTCCTGGGGTCCAGCTTTTGATGTATCAGAGTCCAGAGCATGTGAATGCTGAGGGGAGCCCCCTGGATCCAAGCCTTCCCAGGGACAAGCCACCTCCTGCTCTCCAGCCGGCCTCTCTGGCTTCTTTGGAGTAGTAACAGCTCTCTCACTGGGCCCAGAATCTGTGGAAGCTTTTCCTGTATCATTTGCAAAGTTCCTAATGGCCTCCTCTCCCAGAGCCCTTTCCTGCACTGCTCTAGCACTTACCTCCCAGGGACAGATGTTTGCCTTCTCTGCAGTCAGGGTCTCCTCCACGTCCCACGGGCAGATCTCCACAGTTTTGCTTTCCATACTGCCTGACATCTGGAAACTGGCTTTGGGTTTGTCTGTGTCTTGAGAGACTAACTGTGGGGAGAGACTGCCAGGGTCCACCCTCTCCTGGGGACACACTGCTTCCTGCTGTGGGGTCTGCCCCTCGGGCTTTTCCCAAGCTGTGACATCTGCTTCTTTGATTCCTGGTTGTCCAGGCATTTTCTCCCGATCCTTTTGAGATTCACCTCCTTTTGGAGCTTGTCCCGATGTCCAGTCCTCTGTTCTGTCATTTACATCCCAGGGACAAATTTCTGCTTTGGCAGGTATTGCTTCCTTTATCTCTGGCTTGCTATCTTCCCGGGGACACACCTGCATCACTCTGCTTCCTTCAGTGTTGAGGCGTTGGCCCCTAGCTTTGGGTGAGGAATTGTCTGCACGTGGGCTGGAGTGCTCCAGGGCTGTGCTCTCCCAGGCACGGACTGACTCCTGCTGTTGACTTAATGTCTCCAGTGTTTTCACAGCTTGTTCTTCCATCTCTCCAGAGCTCTCTTTTCTGGAAGCTTTTCCCTTTTTCTGGAGAGATTCTCCACCTGTCCCCTGATTTGCTGTTTCTTTCTCCATTATGCCAGCGTCCAGCTCCCAGGGACAGATCTCGGCTTTCCTGGTAGCAGGAGCATCTCCTGCCTCCCGTGGACACACCTCAGTGACACTACTGCCCAAACTCCCTGAGCACTCTGGGGTTTCTGACACCTGAGTCGAGACTGCTGAGGGACCCAAAAACTCTGTACTCTCCCATGGACAGAGAGACTCCCAGTCTCCACCTAGCTTCTGTTCTTTCCAAAAGGTTGCTTTCTCGGGGGTTTTCTGCTTTTCCTTGGGGAGCTCCTTCACTACCTCCTGGGCTGGCTTCCCACTCTCTCTTCCTTCACTTGCTTCCCAGGGACAGAGCTCTGTCTTGGCCGTTTCAGCTTTATAAGCATCTGGGCCAGTGGCTTCCCACCAACACATAGCCACCTCCCTAGCCTCCCCACTGCCCACTGCCTCAGACCTGCCCTTGGTTCTGTCAGTGTTGTGAGGGGCTAGCTGAGAGGACAGTCCCCCAGGATCAGTACCCTCCCAGGGACACACCGCCTCCTGCCCCCTTACCAGCCTCTCTGGCTTTTTCTGAGTGCTGGCAACCACAACTTTGGGCTCTGGTTTTTCTGGGGCTTTCCCCCTGTCTTCTTGGGAGTTATCTTCTAGATCCTGCCTTAGTATTCCCCTCTCAGGGGTTCCTTCACTCACCTCCCAGGGGCAGATTTCAACCTTGTTGCTACTGTCAAGCAGATACATTCCTGACTTGGCAACTTCCCAGGGACATACCTCGGCCACTCTGTGGTCAGCACTGCCCAGGGGCTGGAGGCTAGCTTTAGGCCGTTCCTGCCACCCCCCAGGGGCTTCTTTTGCTCGCTTACCACTTTTTTCCCCAACTGTGCCCTGTCTGCCTTGTCTCAGTGTGGCAGGCCCTGTTTTACCTGCTTTCTTAGTTTTCCCGTCCCCCAGGCCCTGGGCTGTCTTCCTGCCTTTGTCTTGTTCCCTGCTGCCCTCCTGGTGACAGACTAGGAGCATTCTGCTGGTGTGAGCGTTCTGTTGATTCTGGAAGGACTCCTCATCATCGCAGGGGGCAAGGGCGGCCTGCTTACTCACCACCTTGGGCCGGCCCACCCTGGGAGATCTCGGGGAAGCCCCCACCCCCTCTCCTGAAGCTCTGCCCTTCTCCCCTCTCTCAGGACTCTCTTCCCTGCTCTCCTTCTCTCGGTATGTGCTCTGAGAACGTGTTAGAGCTTTGATAGCCAGTCCCAGACTGCGCATGGAACCCTGCTGAACAGGGACCTTGAGGCTGTGAGATTTAGAGAAGGTTTTGGGCCTATCCTCATCCACGTCCTCAGCTTCCCCCTGGAAACCCCCATCCTCTGTGTTCATTTCATTCTCACCAGCCCCCCTTTTCTCTACTGCAACCGAGAGGGCCCTCCATATCCTGGCCCGAGCAGTTGCAGGGGAGTGGCTGCCTCGCTCTGGCCCTAAGGGGCCTTCTTGGGCCACATTTTCTTTTCTGACTGGCAGTTCCACATTCTCCCAGGGGCAGATATAGGTGAGCAAGCTGGGGCTTTGAGGGGGTGCTGGGACAGGTGCTAGGGTAGGGGATGGTGTTGGGGCTGGAGCTGGCATCAGAGCTGGAGCCAAGGTAGAAGTGGGTGACAGCATCCTTGGCTCTCCCAGGCAGGCCCCAGACAGGGTCAAGATGGGTGTGGAGACCTGGTGCCTGATGGGTGGGCGAGGCAGCTGTCTCCCAGCCTCCTCATGAAGATGCCTAGAGGTGTGGGAGCTGTCCACGCTGCTCCTCTTGGCCGGGGAAGGTGGGGCTGACAGGGGGGCACACCAAGTTCGCTCCAGCCTCTTGGCTGATGGCCTCTGCACTGGGCTCGCTACAGCCACCCCTGCCTTCTTTTGCTCCTCTCGCTCCTTTGCCTGCTGATAGATCTCCTCCAGGTAGGCCTGGCTGGCCACGAGCAGGGCCTTTTCCCTGGAGTCACCCACCACACTGAGCGACTTATGCAGGGAGACAGGTCGCGCCCTGGGGAGCCTCTCTCCCACTGTCAGGTTGTGGGCGCTAGCAGACCTGAAGCTGAGGACAGGGAGTCCCTCTACCAACTCCTGGCTCTCCGTCCGCGAGACCTTCTTCACCAGCTTCCTCCTGAGCAGTGAGTCGAGGAGAGGAGGGTCCTGCTCCTTGCGGTGGTCGTAGGTGCTGTGGGACTTGCACAGGCCCGGTGGTCCCTCGGGTTCCTGGAGGCTGGAGCTGAGGAGCCGGCGGCGGGAGGAGCCGGGCAGGCTGCTGCGGCCCAGGGAGCCCAAGTCCCTGGAGTGCTGCCGCGCCAGGGCTTCCGGGAACTCAGCAAGGTACCTCATGAAGGAACGGCCCAACCCCTGGCGTGAGCTGCCCCGCTTCTTGGGCAGGTGGGGGTTGTTGGCAGCCATTTCCTTGGTCTTGTGGACCTCTAGCTGGGCATAGAGCTTCTTCAGCTCATCCTGAGAGGAGGGGCGAAGAGAGCAGAGCTGATGTTGAGGCAGGAAGGGCTACCTCTCCCCATCCCCTGGCTGCACTCTTCTTCCCATCAGCTCTTATTTAGGCCATTTTCTTTGAGAGATCTCTTTTCTACCAAGCTGTGTCCCTTCCTTGCTTCTAAAACTCTCAGAATTCATCTCACTGTTCCTCCAGACTAGCACCAGCCTGGGTCTGAGCTGGATTCACTCAGCTCTGAGGGCTCAGCATACGCTCCCTTCCCTGGGGGCACTGTGGTCTGGTGGTAAATCACCAGTTGAGGAGACAGGAAAACCTGATTCTAGACTGCTGACACACCATGTGACTCTCATCTGTTTCCTTGACCTCTCTGAGCCTCTGCTTTTAGAAAATACTCATATGAAATGATGGAACTAGTGCTTGTGTAAAGTGTCATATTGAGCTGGAAATAACAGAATGGGGCTTTGAAGGTCTGTCTTCTTTTATATTCTGTATTTCTTCACAGAGTCAGCCTAGGGGGAGCAGATTGATTGGCTGCTGCTCCAGAAAGTGGAGGGCCCAGGGTAAGTGCTATTGTGGGTGGCAGTGCACCTCCACACTCCCTGGCTTCCTTGCTGGGTTGGAGTCTCAGCTCAGCCTATACTCAGGGGAGCAGAAAGCAGAGCAGGCAGAGCTCAGGAAGATGCAAGGGGGAAAGAGGCAGAGGCATTTGGGATAAAGAATTGGGGGATGTGGGGGACTGTAAGTAAGGCAGGTGTAGAGGTGGACCCACGTGGAGGTGGAGGAGATGGACGAAATGTCTTCCTGAGATTGCTCTTGCACCTTAAAGGCTTATAAAACAATGGGCTTAGATTTCCAGGTCTCCTCATTTCCTACCCACTGAACCTCTTGTTAGGGTCCTTGTAACTCTAATGATCCCCTTGAGCAGGAAAGTAAGAGTAAGGGTGCTTTTTTGACACAAGACCCAGGAAGAACTTTCTTTCTCTAAGACCTGACAGGTCCAGGGGAAGGGGATCCTGGTGTGGAAATCCGTGGTGGCTACTCACTGCCCGAACCACCCCAGCCCCACTGCTGGCCGTCGGGTGACCAACCATACTGGTTTGCTGGGGACTGAGGGGTTTCCTAGCCTGCCACCACCTCAATACCCCTGCTGAGTGGGTGTGGAGGATACGAGGGATCAGGGTGCTACTCATGGCTCTGCCTCTAACTTGCCACGTGGCCTGGGCCTCAGGGATCTGGGCTGTGGAACTGTGGGGGTCTTTTCACTTGGGTGGTATGTGTGGTCTCCTTTGAACAGAGTCAGGGGAAGCAGTTTAGGGCGATGGGTGGAAAAGCGAGGGAGGCAGGTCTTGGACAGAGGGAAAGCTAGGGGGAGGGGAGGGATAGTAGCACACAGCCCAAGTGGCAGGGCAACAGTGCACCCTCTGCCAGTCCAAAAAGCTAGTACCAGAAGGAGGCTGGGAGGGCAACACGCACCCGAATGTCACCAGTGTCCAGGCTGCGCTCGCTCCAGGCTGAGGCGATGCTGCTGTCGAGGTAGGAGCCTGAGTGCTGCAGGTCTAGCTCATCCTCGTACACTGCGTCCACGATCTCTTCCTGGGTAGGGGCCCCCGGCTTCCGGAACTGGCCGGGGAGGCACATGAATGGGAAAAGACTCACCTTGGCTCCCTGTCTACTCCTATGCCCACCTGAAATGTGGAATAAGTCTACCTCATGAACCTCTACCCCTCCCCTCTGATTCTGAATCCTTGGGGTCCACAGAGTTTTGTTCCCTCTCATCCTCTTGATCTTCTCTAGCTCAGAGACCAGGGATAGTCCTAACCCCCGACCCCTGCAATTCCTAGCCATGCCCTTCATCTCTACCACCTATCTTTCTGTAAGAAACTGCTTCCAAATAAACTCTCCAAGTCTGCCAACCTTTCAACTGTCTTAAAGGACCCCTGCCTGCGTTGTTGTTAGGTGCCATCGAGTCGATTCCAACTCATAGCGACGCTATAGGACAGAGTAGAACTGCCCCATAGGGTTTCCAAGGAGCGGCTGGTGGATCTGAACTGCTGACCCTTTGGTTAGCAGCCGAGCTCTTAACCACTGCGCCACCAGGGCTCCATCCTTCCAGCCCTAGGTCTTCTTATTTCCCTTGCCCAGGAACTGGAAACAGAAGCAAACAGTAGTTTCCCCCTTGCTCCCCATCTCCTCCTTGATATCTGCTCCTTGCTCTGACTCATTCACCCCCAGCACCTTCTGTCGTCCTCACCCTGACCTGGAGTGGTCGCTGCAGTGACAGCAGCAGCTCCACAGTGGTCGGCCTCATTCTGTGTCTGTGTCCGTGTCTGCGTGCACACACACACCCCACCTCGTATCCAGGAGGGGAAGGGGCTCACCTTGGGGATAAAGATCAGCGCCAGTGTGGCAGTGACTGTGCTGTGCGTGTGGAAGAAGAAGAGGAGGAGGGTCCAGTCCGGGTGCAGGGAGGGAACGAGCACAAACCTGGAGGCAGGTGGGGGATAGTTAGCTACAGGTGGGAGTGGCCTCTTCCGCTTCACCTGTCTCACTGGCTCTTCTCACCAGCCCCAGTCCTGAGTGTCTGTGGAGGTGCTGGGTGGGGTGAGGAGGTCACCCTTCCTTCTTGCCCTCCTGGCTACTCCCACTGGCCTTCTGGAGCTGCCCATAGCACAGACTTGTGCTCCACAGCTCTGTTAAAGACCACCCAGTGGGTTGAGTCTGCCTCCACCACAAGGCCAAGTCCTTAGGGACACACGTACAGCAGGCCTACTGCTCGTATGCCTGAGGTTTGAGGGGGAAGAAAGCAGGGGAATGGAGCATTGTGGGAAGGGGCATGATTGGGGGGCTGAGAGGTGGCGACAGGAATGGGAAAGGAATTAGGAGTGGGAGATGCTTCCTCTCCTTGGGTGTTGGGGGCCTCCTCACCTGGGTGAGGCGTGGGGTGCAAGAGGGGATCTGTGAGGTGGGGAGAGAGCTACAAGTGAGAGGCCTTCCTCGCCTTGCTGAGGCACATCAGTGTTGCAGGGATGGCCGTGGGATGGGAGTACCTTCACCTGGGTAGGCGAGGAGCAGTGTTGGGGTGGAGGAGCCATAGGTAGGTGGGTCTGCCTCACCTGGCTGCGTGGAAGGCAGCAGAGAGCAGCAGCTCGTTGTGCAGGGCAATGCCCATGTAGCGTGGCTCATGGAAGGCCGAGGGCACTGCCCGGGTGGTATAGCAGAGGAAGCTGCCCCAGCACAGGAGCAGCATCTCGGCTGTGGGATGGGGAGGGAGAGTCTCACTACCTCAGCAGCCATGCCGCCCCCTTCTCTGTAGGGCATGCTGGGGAGGGCTGAGGGCCAGGAGTCTGGGTACAGGCAGGAGGACCAGGATAGAAGGACCACTGGAGGCACAGAGCCGGGCCAGGGTGAGGCTGGACTCAGCAGAAGCAGCTCACCCACAACCATAACGTAGTCCCAGCGATCGTAGTGACATAGATAGAAGTGGCGGCCAGTGGGAGTGTGGCCTTGGGTCACCAGGGGCGAATGCTGGACACCTGGCTCCAGGACCCCTGCTGTCCACACCACCAGGAAGCCCAGCACAAGTAGCAAGAGCAGCCACAGGCGCCGCAGCAGCTGCCTGCTGCTCAGGTGGGGGCCCCGCTGGGCCGTTCGAGACAGAAACAGCTGGAGCACTCTGCAAGGGTTGGAGGATGGTGGAAAAGGGGGAAGGGCTGCCTCCGTCCATTGCTTCCCTCCCCTCCACACACACCTCCCATGACGCACTGCCTCTCTCCCCCCAGAAAATTGCATAGAGGGGAGGGCTATCATGATGGGGCCACAGGGGAGTGGGGCTGGCAAGGGTCTCGCTTTGAAGAACTCCATTCCACGAATGAGCTGGAGTGGCCTGGGGTGAGCAGCATGACAGCAAAGTCCACCCAAGACTCTACCTATAAAGCTTGAGTATAATGGTGCCGTAGACGATGACAAAACCCAGCAGCCGGACCCAGCGGAGAGCGATGCAGCGGAATACACTGGGCTTGAAGTATAGGATGAAGACCTGGGGGGCAGAGGTGACAAAAATAGCTGCTCTCTACTGTGTTCCTTCTATGTGCTAGGCCTTATGCTGAATACATTATTGCTAATCGTAACAGCCATGCAATAGAGGCATTATCACCTCCATTCTATAGAGGAGCAGCTTCAGTATCAAGAGAGGTTCTGTAACTTGTTTGGGTTGCTCACTAGACCATCTGCCGTTGCGGGGGTATGAGTAGGGAGAATTCGAAGTCTCTGAATTCCCCCAAGAGGGCAGAGAGGAGAAGGGGTTCTGAGCGTTTTCAGGGTGCCAGGTTGGGGCTGTGCAGGTCCTGGAAGGTGGGGCCAGCCTCTAGCTATGGACTCACAGGGAAGTAGAGTAGTAGGGATCCAGAAAGGATGGTTTCCAGCAGGATAACCCCAGACGCCCGGATCTTCTGTGAACCCAGGAAAAAGAGAGGCAGGTGAGTACGGCAGTGGGTTGTTGGAGCCTGGACTAGGGTGCAGTGTGGGAGGGTCGCAGGCCTGTTTAGGGCTCACTCAGTGGCCATAGGCTGAGGCTTCACCCTGTAACATTAGCATCTCTCTCTTCAGAGCCATACCCCACTCCTGCCCCAAGGCTCTTAGCACCTCTGAGACTAAGCCTTTCCTGGGTGAGGCCAAGGTTTCACACAGCCCTCCACCCTACCTCAGGCCCCACCCAGGCCCATCCACCCTAGGCCTTGTTGCCGTCCTAGGCTCAAATCAGAGGTTGTAGGAGTGAGAGGATCTCATATGTGCCTCCAAGCTTTGGGTCAGACTGCCACCTTGTCTAGAATATGATATCCCCTTCTCCATCTGATAAACAAGCAGTAAGCCAAGCCTGGAGCCCTGGTTGCACAGTCGTTATGCATTCAGCTCCTCACCAAAAGACCGGCAGTTGGAATCCACCAGCTGCTCCTTAGAAACCCTATGGGACAGTTCTACCGTGTCCTATAGGGTCAGTATCAGTCAGAATCAACTCCATGGCAATGGATTTGTTTGTTTTAAGCCAAACCTGGCTTGAATGGCACGTTCTCCAGAATGTCTTTCCCATCCCTTCTGAGGCAGAATGCCTGGGTCCCTTCTCTGATACCCACCTCCATCTTAGCCCTTGTCTCCCTGTATTGTCATTTTATTACATTCTGCTTCCTCCACTAATCTGGGAGCTCCATGGAGACTGAGATCTCTTCCCGTAGTGCCTAGGCAGTGTTTTGCATAGAGGAGATGCTCAACAAACATTGTTGAATCAAGTCCAATGCCTTAATTTTACAGATGAGGAAACAGGTCAGTTGGTCTTAGACCATAACCCATTTCTCCTGAGGTAGTCTTAGGTAGTCTCAGGTCTTCAGGTCCAGGGACCCGAGATGGACAGGGCATGTGTGCAGGAGAGATGTAGGGCCTTCCTTGCCTTGCTCCGGCGGCAGCGGTAGGAGACCAGCATGCTCAGGAAGACAGCCAGCATGCAGCAGGCCTGGCACGCCAGCACTGCTGCTCGCAGTCTCAGGGCCTCCTCCACCAGGCACGGTGTGGCATCTATGCAGCTGGTGCAGTCCTCAGGACATGGCTGGCACCGAAGCAGCCTCCCGGAGCTGCCTTGTGGAGACCCAAATTGCCCAGTAGGCTGGGTGGCACTCTCCTCTAACCCTATAAAGGACAAGATGGGTATAGGGAGAGGGGCATGGCTGGAGTCTCCTTCCTGAGTCCCCAGTCACCTCTGCCTGTGGTCACCACACCCTCCTCCCTTTCTCCTATGGGCTGTGGCCCCTAGGGTAGGGCCAGGAGGGGAAGCACTGAGGAAGTAGGTACTCCCGGGGAGGGCAGGGTAACAGGTAGAGGTGATCCCAGACTAGGGCTCATTGGGAGGTCAATTTGCATTAGATCAGCAAGTTGTGGGCTCATTCTCAGAAGGCACAGACACCTCCAAACTGGACCCTGCCTGCCTCTCCTCCTCCCCACCTTCTGCCCTTGTATCACAAGTTTCACAGTGTCTTACTCCGACCCTGTCTATCTTCCCCAGATGTCCCTCAAGCCCAGCCACCTGCCTGGCCCTCACCACAGGTACGTACCCCCAGAGCGGCTTGCCCTGAAGAAGCCAGGCCGGCAGCGGCAGAAGTAGCGGCCAAGAACAAAGCCCTGACTCTCCAGGGGGACACACTGTGGGGACACAAATATGCTATGTATTTATATGGGGCTTCCCCTGGGAGCTCTTCCTCCCTGGGAAGAGATGGAAGGTCCACCTGCCTCCCTCTCCATAGCACCTGGGTCTACATTAGGGAATCCCACCAGAAGCCCACCTAGTGCTTGGGAAGGCTTTCCTCGATGGAAATCCACCTCCATCTCCACAAATGCTGCTTTCTCAAAGAGATTGCAAGCAAAGACTATGGGGATGGATCACCCCTTTGTTCAGACTGGCAGTGAAAGGAGCCACACAACTCCTATTCCCCAGTGCCCAGCTGTTGCTAGGGCACGGTGCTGGGGGGAGGTGGAAGTCAGGGAGAGCTGGAGCCCAGGCACACCTTGAGTGTCTACATCCTGCTTCAAAGGGTCTCCTTCTTTGGCACACAGGTGGGTTGAAAGGGCCGCCATGGAGGAGCAGCTTCCTCCATCAGGGGCCATCTGGCTTTGGCACAAGACTGTTTTCCCCAGCCCTAATGCCAGGCTAATGCCAGGCTGGTGGGATGCCAAGGCCAGCTCTTTATTCCACCTCCGCCCATTGATGTTTGCCCAGCAGGGGATGGAGCAGACCTCAGAGCCAGGCCGGGAAGAAGAGTGCATGAATGAGGTCACATCTACTGTGGACATGGCCAGGAACAGACATCAGTGGGGCAGGTGGAGGGGGTAACCTTGGGGGGTTCCATATCCAGCCCCTGACATCATCTGAAAGGGTTAGAGTGTGGTGCTTATGAAGCTGTAGCCCAGCCGCTGCACTTGCCTGGACCTCTGGACCGCTCCGTTCCTGCCATAGTCTGCACTATCAGACAACGTGTACCCAGAGAAGTGAGTGCGGCTGGGTTAAAAAAGTGGCCTGGACAGTGGGAGCCCTACTCCATCCCTGGACTTACAGCTCCAAACACACGTGCCCTTCAGAGCAGCAGGGTCACCTGTGCACAGAACACAACGATGCCCAAGTTGCCCCACCTCCCAGCAGGCTGCAGGGCTCAGTTCTGCTCAGGAACATGCAGGCAGCCAGTGCAAACCATGGAGCTAATTAGTCCCCTGGCCTCCCGGTTTCCCACTGCCAGGCTTGCAGAATTACCGGCCATTGCCCTCCACCAGTCTTGATACAGCCACACCAGCGGCTGTGGTTGCTGGCTTATGGCCTGTGTTGCTTCACCTTCACCAGCTCCAGAGCTCGTCAAAGCTCCTTTGGCTGTATTCCTTCCACATCCCAACCCACAATTCCATTTATTTTAACAAACACCCTCTTGTAGGCCAGGCAGGAGTCCAGAGCTCTGTTGACAGGGAGAATACTGTCCAGAGGAAGGAAAGGGGATGATTACCTGAGGCTCAGGAGGTGGCCCTGGGGAGCAAACCCAGCAAGAGAGCAGAGAGGGAGGGACACTGAGATTTCAAGCACACGGGTAGTGGCTGTAGGGAGGGGTAGGCTGCAAGTGGCCTCACTTTTTAGAAGTCTGGTCTCTCACCTCTGCCAGTCACTAGGGACTCCCTGAAGCCTTGAGAGGCTGGGTTTGTTCTGTAAGCAGAACTAGGAGCAGGGCACTGGCAGTGATTAGAAAGAGGGAGGCAGGCAGGCAGGCAGGAGCCTAGTACACCTCCCCTGATCCTCCTTGTCCTTACCTGGGTGCTGTTGAGATCACACAGGTGTGTGTTAGAGTACCAGCCTGGGCCACCGGCACACTGATTGATGTCCACGCTCTGAAGATCCACGTCCATCTGCACCTGACCCCTGGAGCAGTGAATTGGCCGTTAGGGAAGAGGAGGTGGACATGTGTTTATGTCTACCGGACAATGGGGCAATGCAAGCCTTGCAAACTTATCACAGTGGGCTGCAGTGTGCCAGGGAAGGACACAGATGCTTTCCACTTCTGCAGCGCTCTTAACCTTCACTGTCTCCGTGGGCAACAACCTCCTCCCCCGAGGCTATTCCCCACACCACTCAGCCTTCCAATATCCTATCATTTCCTGGTTTCCATCAATAGTTAGAGGGAGGGGGCATGTCAGGACATGTGGGAGCTGAGGCTCTGATGACCTGACTGAAGGGGATTTTTACACTTTCCCACTGCATGTACACACAAACATACACACACAACACTCAGCTATTAACCACCCCCTCACTCTGCCCAAGCCAGGTCTGAATTGATCACAGCAAACAAGGTGTGGAATGGAAAAGCCTGGTACAGTGGCTCCCCAACCCCTGCTCTGGGCTAAGTGGGGGAGAGAGCTGGCAAAGAGCCAGGCTGCCTGCCAGGAGGAGGGGGACCCTGCTGGGGACAATGAATGGGGACACAATAGCTAGAAAACCAGTGTTGATGGTTGAATGCCTTGCAGTACTATGTCCACTTGCTGCCCCTTGCCAATAGGGCTCCCCTCCACTTTACTCTGGTTGAGGGAGGAGGTCAGTTGTTTGAAGGGTATCAGGCTCTTGGGACAGGACAGGCAGGGCAGTGGATCCTGTCTGAGGTAGGAGGATGGCCATTGGGAGTGACCCTGGGGACTCAGCCAACTCTTGGACAGGAAGGGCATTGGTTCTGTGCACCCCACCCCCTGAATTTGCCTTCCCCTGAGGAAGCCCCCTCTTAGAGCTCTAAGTCATTAGAGAACAGTAGGTTTAATTCCTGGAGTGCCCACCTGGCTCCTCTAAGAAGTCTGGTGCAGGGTTGTCTCTGTCATCCATGCCAAGCCCCCTCCTGTACCCACTACTCAGACCTGGGGCCAAGACCTATGCCCATTTGTACGCACACATCTGTACACACTCATATGTAGATACCAACACATAGATGTGGAGCCCTGGTGGCACAGTGGTTTAAGCATTTGGCTGCTAACCAAAAGGTCAGCAGTTCAAATCCACAAGCTGCTCCTTGGAAACCCTATGGGACTATGAGTCGACGGCAATGGGTTTTTTTTTTTTTACACATAGATGTATGTATACCTACATATGTATGCACATACTCATAGACCTTCATTTGTATGCTCAAATACATAAGTACAAATAGATACCCAGAGAAATACATATAAATGGATTGATTCATACACAGTATATACCATTACACCTGTAGGCATTAACACGTAGTTAGATTGAAGAACTGACTGCAAATACATCTGTGCCCCCCAGACATACACATGTGGGTGCCAAGTGGCCCATGCACACCGTACTTATGCCTAACCCCCCACCCCCGCCACATGCCTACAAATGCATCAAGTCCTGCATAAACCCACTTACCTGACTTCCGGGCTGAGGTCTGGCTTGAGTCCGTAGAAGGTGGCTGAGAGTGTGATAAGCCAGCCAGGACGGAGCCGACCCTGCTGGCATTCCAGGAAGGGAGGAGACAGCCTCACATGCTGCATGTCCCCCACATAGCCATCCCCCCGTGGCCACTTGGGGCTACCAAGGCTGCCTAGGTCATTGGTCAACACTCGCTTCTGCAGGGCAGGGGTGTCCAGGTCCCTGGCCAGGCTCTCCTCCAGCACCCTGCTCCCAGATAAGTCTTGAAGGATGGTCTCCTCCTCCATCCGGGTGGCCTGCAGGGCCAGCTGGAGGTGGCTGGCCCCTGGTGGGGGGCTGAAGGTCAGCAAAGCCCGGTATGCTCTTGGGTCCCCCTCGGCTACGCTGCGAACCAGTGCCTGGTACCACTCCACATCCTCCTCCACACTGGACTCACGGATGTCGTTGGCTTGCAGCAGCATGTTGAGGAAATTGGCGGCCTGGGCAAGGGTGCCTGCTGCCCTCTGTAAGACTGGAGGGGGCCCTGCTTTGGCTCCTGCCCCAGGGGCTTCATAGCGCTCACTGCAGTTAGCCCCCAACAGCTGCTTGGCATCTCCAGAATAGAGAAAAACCAGGGCAGCCTCTGCCCCCTCCGAGGGCACCCACTTGGGCACAGATCCTGGCTGAGCTTGGGAGGACAGCGGGGGCAGAGAGAGGAGGGGCTGTGGACCCTCTAGAGCCCAGCTGCAGAGGAAGCAGCAACCCAGCAGCTCCCACACAGAAGGGGGCATGACTCCTGCCCTGGTGCCCATCCCGGGCAGCTCTCAGGAACCTTGGGGCCTTGGCTGCCTGGAGGATTTGACAGCTCAGAAGAGCCCAGCAGAGGCTGGCCCCAGGGGCTGCCTGCCTCCACACATCCTAGCCTGGCTTTCCCTCTCCCTCTCTCCTGCCCTCTCTCTCAATGCTCGCGCTGTCTCACCTATTTTTTCCTTGCTCTAACGTCATCACTGGTTTCTGGACGTAGGCATGAGGGCCCTGCCCTCTCCTCTCTCAGTGTGGCCCTTCATCTCAAACCGTCTTAATCCAGGCAAACAACTCTCCCCTCCCCCTCTTATCCAGCATCCAGACGCCCTACCCCCCCCCATCTGCTACAGAGAGAGGGAAGGGAGGGGAGGAGAAGGGGCCAGGAGGGCTCTCTCTCCCTTCCTCCCTCTGCCCTTTGCTCCATTAGGATAGATGGCCAAATCCAGGATGGGGCGCCATAGCAACCAAAGATGAGCCCGTACTCCTCTCTTCACCCCTCCACTCCACTCATCTTCCTGGCAACAACTGGAAAGGGCATGATAAAGGGCCAAGCTGCATCTCCTGACAATCCGCTCTGGCTGCATGCACCCCCGACACTGCTGCCTAACTGGAATTTGAGATTGGGGGCAGCAAGGGTAGGGGAGAGAGCTTGAAAAAACCATAATCAACCTTTGCACAGACTGTGGCAGTTTATGAAGTACTTTTGATGTACATTGTCTCCATAAATCTCCCTCACAACCATGTATGGTGAATATTATCATCCCCATTTCACAGACAGAGACACTGAGGCTCAGGGACTCACCCAAGATCACACAGCTGCTCACTTTGAATAGAGACTCAAACCCAGAGCTACACTGCATAGTCAAACCGTCACTGTCACCTTGTTACATCAGGGACTGTAATAAAGCCTCATTAAAACCAAACTCATCGCTGTTGAGTCAATTCTGACTCATGGCGGCCCCAAGTGTTACAGAGTAGAACTGCTGCATAGGATTTTCTTGGCTATAATCTATACAGAAGCACATCACCAGGCCTTTCTTCTGCAGCGCTGCTGGATGGGTTTGAACTGCCAACCTGTAAGTTAGTAGTCAAGTCGCCACCAAGGGACCTTACAAAGCCTCATTACAGAGCAGTAAACCAAGGCCCAGAGAGGAGAAGGGATTTCCATAGGACCACTCTGTTGTTTGTGACAGAGCTGGAGCCTCCACCCAGGTCTCCACCTCTTCACCCAGGCCTTTTTTCTCCTGCACCACAGCAAGGTTAACCACAGCAGGGTTAACAACCACACCAGCAATGATGGGCAGGGCTGTTAGGGAGCAGGGACAAGAGCTGGGGAGAGGGGGTGTACAAAGCTTGGCCTCTCCTACTGCTTCTACATTCATTTCTTCATCATAAGCCCTGTCTTCTTTTCTTCATGAAAACTTGGCCAGCCTTTCTTGCTCTTCCTTGTCTTCTCACCCTCCATGCCCCACTAGCCTCCGCTCTGAGGGCCTAGAGTCAGCACTACCTGAGGCAGCTTCATTGGATCTGGAAGGGTCTGGATTCTTGAGGGTAGCCACCGACCACAGCCCCTGCCTTCCTCCCTCCCTCTTCCATCACCTTCCATTGTGCATGCTCCCCCCTTCCCCAGGTGATCCAGCCCCACATCTGCCCTTTCCTTTAACAGAGCCTCCTTCCTTGCATGCTGTCTCTTGGCTTCTGAGTTCTCTTCTACTCCCCCCACCCTTTGATGTCCAGATCACTGAGTGCACGTAGGAAGAAATGGGTGGTAGTTGCTAAAAACTTCTCTTGCTTTACAGATGGCCACTGCAAATGACAGTTCTGCTGCAGAACCCTAAGTGTGAGAATAAGGGCTGGGGTCGCGGGAAAGAGTGTTAGAGGTCAAGCCCCCATGAGAATCCCTGTGATGTCAGACCTCGAACGGCCCACAGTCCAGCTCTTTCTCTAATAGAAAAGGAAACTAAAACCCTGAGAGGAAAGTGACATTCCCAAGGCCACAAAGCCAGTTAGTGGCACAGCGGGGATCTTCCTTGATCTCTCTGATTCTATGTCTAACAGAGACAGGGAAGAAGAGGATTCAGTGACCCAGTCTACTTTCTTGCTATTACTGCTTATTGGTAGTTGAGGGTCAACAAAGTCAACAAAACACACTGGGTGAAGACATAATAGTAAGTTAACATGATTTTCCCCCCAGAAGCTTTTCATAATACAGTGAAACTTGTGAGAGCTGGAACTGGACTGCCTTGTTTTTCCAGGTTTTGCAAGTGTTCCACCTTTGACAGGGTACAGTCTTGCCACTTTTCTATCCCTTGTTTTAGTGGAAAGTATTTGAGATTTCCTTCCCTGACCGGTTTCCGCCTTACAGAGCTTCCAGCTTTCACAGGTTTTACTGTAATAATTAACATTTGTATAGTGCTTTAGCATTTATTAAGCAGCTTTACATATAATTTTTCATTTAATCCCAACAGCCCTGTAAGGGGTGCTATTACTGAGCCATTTTTACAAATGAAACACAGATTCAAAGATGTTTAATTATTTGCTCTTTGTCATACATCCAGGAAATGGCACGATTAGGACTCAAACTAGACTGTAAGCTCCAGAAGGGCAGGGACGGTGTCCATCTCACTTATCACTGCACCCCCAAACCTTAGCCCATTGGGCACTGTAGGTGCTCAATGAATGTTGAATAACTAAACGAACCTCAGAACTTCTTTAGATTCTCTAAGTTGTTTTTCACGAGTCTTTCTAGCTAGGATCCTACTGCCGCAGGGACCACTTTTACAGCCCTTAGTGAAAGAGGTATCTGTAGACACAACACACATTTAAGTCATAAAGCACAAAAAATATACTTCCTTTGCTTACAGCTTAATTTTCAATGCTTTTCCCAGAACCTGGGCTACGGCCTGGACAATTAAGGAAATGAGGAAAGGCAGCATTCCTTACCCAGCCTTTGAAAGAGCCTGTGCGTGTTCCCTGGTGCAAGTGAAGGTGGCAGACATAGTCAGCTTCCTTCTAGGGCCAGGAAAGTAGTTGGACAGGAGAGGGCGCTGCAGAGCCACAAACTTTGCCTTTTATCAGGGATTCTGCTCCTCAGCCAGAGTTTCCCAGAGACAGCTAGGGATCTTGGGTGGCCTCTTAGGCCTCAGGTGTTCTAAGATCCTACAATGATCACTGTTCTTTTCTGCCAAAAACCTAAGTAACACCTGAGAGGTAGAAGGAGAAGGAGGGTAGAGGATGAAATCTTTGGAGTCAGACAGAGCTGGTTGTGAATTTTACTGCATCTTTTGTTTGACCTTAGGTAAATAACCCTCTGAACTTCAGTTTCTTCATGTGCAAGGAGGGATATTAATTCTGTTGTGCAGAATTAGATATGAATTTATATCAAGAGCTCCTTGCAAGGCCTGAAGTTGAACAACCATTCCATGCTTATCTATCAAGGGCCTGCTTTGTGCCAAGCACCGTCTTTAACACTGAAGACTCCATGTGGGTAAAAAACAAACCTGGTCCTTGCCCTCATGGAGCATACAGCTTCATGGGGAAGACAGACTTTCATCAAATAACCCCATGGAAAGAAAATAAATTGTTGTTGTGTGCCTTTGAATCGATTCTGACTCATATTTACCCTATAGGACAGAGTAGAACTGCCCCATAAGTTTCATAGGCTGTAATCTTTACCGAAAGAGATCACCAGGTCTTTTCTCTCGCAGAGTGGCTGGTGGGTTCCAACCTCTGACCTTTCGGTTAGCAGCCGAGCACTTTAACCATTGTGCTACCAGGGCTCCTTAATGACAAATTACACCTGTGCAATTAAATGTGACAAAGGAGTGGTCTCGGAGCTTGATGAAGAGGAAGAGCCCAGGCAGGATTTCCCTGAGGAAGTAAGAAATGAGTTCAGTCTGAAGGATGAGTAGGAGTTCACTAAGCAAAAAGAGAGAAAAACCTTCCAAGAAAAGGGAACAGTTTATACATTGGCCATATACCTGGGAGCCTGACACAAGGTCAGTGGGACTGCAGGGGAGAGAGAACAAGGGGGAGCTTGATGGGAGACATGGCCAGAAAGAGGCAGGGGCCACACAGGGCCCTGTAGGCCGATTTAAGGAGTTTTATCTTTATCCTAAGAACACTGGGAAGCCAGGAACTGTTGTAATCACGGGCTATGAACAAATTTTCATTTTGAAAATGTCCCTCTGACTGCAGAACTCAACCCTCTTCCCCTTGATGCACCTTCAGGTACTGAAGTTCTGCTGGTCTTTCCTCCCTGTTGCGTGCATTCCTCATCATCTCTCACTAGGACAAGTGCAATGGATTCCTGACTGCTCTCCCTGCCTCCATCCCACCTCCTTTACTCAAGAAGTTTCATCTTACTTAATCCTTGCAACATGCCTACAAGTAAGCAAAACAGCAATCTTTATCTCTATTTTACAGATGAGGAAATTGAGGCCTAGTGGTGCTCTGGAGCCAGCTTGTAGCAGCTCATGAAAGCCAATTGTTAAATTTTCAGGAATTCTGCAAGCCAGTTGTTAAACACAGCCACTATTAAACATTAAATTATATAAAATTACAATGAAATAAATGATATCAAAAATTAAAGATTATAAATTCTCAAAACTCATCACTTACTAATTATTTTACTATTATCTATGCTTTGGGGTTATTTATGTCTATTGTATTTGTATGGTGGAACTACTATATAATGGTATGCTATTGCTCATTTCTTCCTAACTCTATTCAGTAAAGTCAAGCTGGTAGCTAGAAATCAGCCATGGTGGGAGTATTTATACCACGGAAATCAACAAATGATACAAATTGGGCTTGATTTATTGTTTTGTTGATTATCTAAAGAAAAGGAGAAAATATTAATAATTCAGATTTAAACATAGTATCATGTTGAATTTAAACATAATGTCATGTCATAGCTGTTACATTGTGAAAAGCACAAAAATTGAGGAATTTTTCCTCCAGTATTTGAACATTGTTTTCTGATTCAGCAAAGAAGTGACACCCATCATTGACAATCCAGTTATTTTTTTTTCGTTTTCCTCTTACATTAACATAGAAGAAAATGTCAACCAGCATTCACGCTACAACTATACTCCTTGATCAATTGCAAGCACAAGTTGGTTACTCATTGCAATCGTATATTATTATCATTTGTCAATTGTGTACTACACATCCTTTATATCAGTAAAATTTATGATGAAATTATGTACCTATATATGCATACATTCCCCCACCAGAGAACCGGTTATTAAACATGATCAGCACACCCTTGGCTCTAGAACACATTATTGATGTTATCATTCAACAAATATTCACTGATTACCAGGGGGTGAGGAGGGATAGAGTGGGGATATGAAATGACTCGGCCAAGCGGCATAAGCCAGACCAGAACCAGATGTGTTCCCAAGGCCAGCGGTTCTCTACCATGACCACACCAGCCTTGTCAGCGCCCCTCCACTTTACTGAAAGGGGTGGGCAGAGCCCAGGCGCTCTGGAAGTGAAAAGCAAGGGTCCAGGTAGAGGACCAACAGCCAGCGTAGAAGCAGCTCACGTCCAATAGCGGCTCGGGTCGCGAGTAACGTCACGCGCCGTGGAAGCCGGCGAGAGCACGCCCTCGAGGAAAAAGGCGTGACCACAGTCTCCCGGAAGTGACGCAAGTCAAAGGGCGGTCCGCGGCGGCGGCGGAGGCGGCGGCGGCGGTGCGCGGTCTGGGCTCGCGCT